GAACCGCCGTATCCAGCCTCCAACTTTTTTTCCAATCAATGTAAGGAGTTATACTTAATACAACAAATTTTTAATTCTCTTATACTCATTACGTTTTTCAAAATAATTGTACAAAGTCGAGCCTCACCTCGTGACACAGTCTCAAATGGCTCAAACTCATACTGAGTTTCTCTTTACGACCTCTAATGATCCAAACTCAAGCCGAGTCTTACCCATATTTAGCAGCCTCTAAATTGTAAAGTCAAAAATTAAAGTTTCAAATTTAACAACCTCGAAACGGTCATACCGAGTCTTATCTCGAACCTAACGATCTCCAAACGATCACCCTGAGTCTTATCTCGAAAGATGACGATCTCAAAACAATCATACCGAGTCCTATCTCAAACTTAACGACCTCGAAACAGTCATGCCGAGTCTCACCTCGCATTTAACAGCCTTGAAACAGCTTGAAACCAAATAGCCGCAGGCAAAGCTCGCATAACTAACGAATTAGAAAATGCCCAATCTTTCACTTAAATAACTTATCAAACTTAAAAACTAGCCACACCAAAAATAGCTCTTGATGCTTCGCATCGAGCCAGCACACCTCGTAACAATTCCGATGTACAAAATCAGCCCGCTAGGAATTACATTATGCGAGCAACCGCGCATGCCTAAGCCTTCTGTCATCATGGGTCACCTTAAAGCCAATACGGAAAACACAAAGGAGAACAGACACGATCTAGAAAGCGTCGCGATTAAACATTATACTTACAGGTCAGCAACGATCCATATCGGGATGACAGTACGTGCGAAAATAATGCTTAAAATGCCAAAAGCATTTAAGCAATTATTGATTCTAAAAAGTGCCTGTCAAAGTAGACATAGAGTCTTTCTTACCTCGCAAAAGCCACGATATTTAATGCGGAGATATCTTCGTAAGCTCTTCGAGATTTGATTCAGACTGATCCGTTAGCACACCTAAAAAGCATGCCCTTCAAGCTTCATACTTATCGTTTAAAGGGCTGGGGGCAATTGTTGGTGTTATATTTTGCACCCGAAATACAGCCTGAGAGAGGCCCATTAGTGGTTAGGCCGGCCCACCAGGCGAGGTTTGATAGATAAGTCTGAAGGAACAACTAGAATAATATATCGCTAGCTGCGAATGGAGGTCAAGCCTGTGGAATGTGGTGATGGATTTGTATTAAGCCCACTGCGATAAAGCCCAATACGCCCAACAAAAGGCCCATTCGATAAATCATGCGATTGGGCTGGATGAGGTAGTTAACATATTTACTTGCGAGCTGCACGCTGAAGAGGAGCTCACGGATAACAGGTGGAATCAAACAAGGTGGAGATCTTGGAGCACATGGTGAAAATCCAGGATCGTGAGGAGAATGTGCTGCGTGATTACA